AAATGACATAACTCTGTCAGTGTCTTTAACATAAACGCACTTGTCACACTCATTGATTCTAAATCTATTTGACAACATAGCATTGTCAAACTTCTCATGCCATTGCTTGGGAGCTTGCTTCAAACCATATAATGACTTGACAAGCTTACAGACTTTCTTATTTTGCCCTGAGCTGAAAACCCCTCGGGTTGTTCCATGTAGATTTCTTTATCTAAATCTCTATTTAAGAAAGCTATCTTTACATCCATTTGATGTATCTGCAGACCACGTAAAGCGACTATCGCAACCACCATGCGAATGGATGTAATCCTTGTCACAAGTGAATACGTATCAAAGTAATCCACATCTTCTCGTTGCCTGTATCCTTTGATAACTAGCCTAGCTTTGTACTTATCAATTGACCCATCCGCTTTCATCTTTCTTCTAACAATCCATTTACTCCCCAACACCTTACTGCTTGGGGATAAATCAACCAACTCCCAAGTATCGTTTTGTAAGATGGAATCAATTTCACTCTTAATTGCTTCTTTCCATAAGAGACTTTCAGGTGAAGTCACAACTTCATTAAAAGTTTGAGAATCTCCTTTTAACATATAAGTCAAGAAGTCTGGGCCAAAGGACTTGGCAGTCCTAGCCCTCTTACTCCTTCTTGGCTTATCTCCTTCCTTATCTTGATCATCTACTTAATCATCTTCAAGTTTCTTTTCAGAACTTTGATCCTCTCCTCAGGTTCAGCAAAGAAATACGTCTTCAAAGAAGGATGCATTCATTGACTCCATTATGGTATTCTTGTGGATATCTGAAATATCAGACTTGTGCACAAGAAACCTATATGCACTACTATTCTGTGCATAACCAATGAATATACAATCCACGGTTTTCGGACATATCCTAACCCGCTTGGGTGTAAGTACCGCCACTTTTACAAGACACCCTACATTCGTAGGAAATTATAAGAAGCCTTGCGGCCTTTCCATAATTCATATGGAGTCTTATCTACTTTCTTCTGAGGTATTCTATTTATAATGTAACTCACGGAGAGAATTGATTCCCTCCGTATCACTGTACAAAGGAATGGGCAAACAAAAACCCAGAACTTATTAGCACTGCATTCATCATTTCTTTTAACGTTCTATTCTTCCGTTTAGGAAAGTACAACGCTATGATTGGTGAATAATCCCAAATTAAGCACAAGTCTCAGCAAACGGCGATTCATACTCACCATTACGGTCACTTCTTAAAGTCTTAATCTTTGGGCTTAATTGATTCTCAACTTCATTCTTGAAAAGAATAAATTTCTCAATCGCCTCATCCTTGCTTTTAAGCAAATACATATAACAAAATTTAGTACAATCATCAACAAAAGTGATGAAGTATTTGTTGTCACCGCGTGATTGTATGACTTTCAAGTCACATACATCACTGTGCACTAAATACAAAGGCTTAGTACTTCTTTCAACAGAATGAAAAGAAGTCCTTGTCATTTTTGCTTCTACACAAGTTTCACACTTGTGATTTGGATTAATCTTAAAAGATGGTATGTGATCTAACTTGATTAATCTACACAAAGAGTTAAAATTCACGTGACCCAGTCTACCATGCCATAAATTTGGGGAATCAAGCATATAGACAGAAGAAGAAGCCTTCTTATTAAGTTTTGGGATAATAGTCATTACATTTAGTTTGAACATACCACTCGACATATATTCCTTCCCCACACAGACCCTGTTTTTGGTCAACACGACCTTATCAGATTCAAATACCATGCAGAAGCCATGCTTGCTTAAGAGCGATCTCGAGACAAGGTTCTTACGAATGTTTGGTACATATAGGACATCGCTCAGAGTCAACTATTTCCCTGAAGTGATCTTTAGGACTACCTTGCCCTTTCCCTCAACAATAGAGGTTGCAGAGTTGCCTATAAACAACTTCTCACCATTTGGTGAACATTTTCTTCTCTGCACAGATATGGCGAGTGGCCCCAGTGTTCGTCCATAATTCTTTCGAGTTGGACCCCACCATGTTCACTTCAGAGACGACAGTTGACAAATGCATGTCGTCCACATCTGGTGATCGATCCTTCATCTCAGCCATGTGTGCTCAACTTTTGTTTTGTGGAGGATACTTATTGTAAGGCTTCTTCTTCTTACGGCAGTCAACCACCCGATGCCCATTGCTTTTACAGTTGAAGCACTTTCCATTGAACCTAAAAGTAGGTTCCTGTGACTTGTAGACCGGCTTTTTGCAGACACCGCCTCTTGCCCCCAACTTTGAGCTTTTGCTTGGTGGTGGCTTTTTCCTCACCCCCAAGGACTGGCCATTCTCAATCACATTTGCTTTTACAGTGGAGGTATTCCCCCATTTCCTTCTATTGTCTTCCTCAATCCATAGCCTGACAACGAGCTCTTCGACTATCATCTCCTTCCGCTTGTGCTTCAAGTAGTTCTTGAAGTCCTTCCAACCGTTAGGCAGCTTTTTCAATCAGAGCAGTGGCCTGGAATGATTTATTCAGGAACATTCCCTCAGGATGAATTTCGTGCATAATTACTTGGAACTCTTGGACTTGACTGGTGACAGTTTTTGAGCCCACCATCTTGAAGCCTAGAAACCGACCAACAACAAATTTCTTTGCCCCAACATCCTTGGTCTTGTACTTTGTGTCCAAAGCATCCCATAGCTCCTTTGCCAACTTCTTAGCATATAACACATTGAACAGTGAATCTGCCAAGCCATTGAGAACGTAGTTCCGACAAAGGAAGTCTGACTACTTCCAAGCATGTAGAGCCATGAGATTCTGTTTGTGTTGCTCATTCTCCTCTACAACTGGTGGATCCCCACTCAAAACCCTCTCAAGGTTAAGAGTAGTAAGGTAGAACAACATTTTTTGCTGCCACCTCTTGAAATTCACTCCCGTGAACTTCTCTGGGTGCTCGTGATGGTTGAGCAGGCCTCCTGGAACGGCAGGAGCAGCAACAGGGTTGACCATAGAGGTCACAGCAGTAGGGGTTTACAAGTTAGTTGCCCCGGGGTTCAGATCCCCACAACATTAGCAGTATCAGTAACATCGGTGACAATTTTCATTTTTGAAAAATATAACAGACTTTCACTTTCTGTGTTTCTAAAAATTAAACTTAACACTAGAAAATCTCTTAGTTAAAATTTTAATTCAAAACTAGTCTCATCACTTAACCTAGAATCGAACATGGTCAAGAATGTTACCAGGAATACTGGAGGGGTCACATCAGTCCCACTTAAAACCCAGTTAACCTTTTGACAAAACTTTCAAGAGCATGTTGACTCCTAGTTCGTGGGAAACAATTTTTAGGATTAAGTTTTCCAACAGATGAACTAGGTTAAAACAAACCAAGGTCCAATACTTACAAACAATTTAAAAATTGCTAACCAAAATTACAAGCAATGTAAAAAATTGGTACTACAATTACAAGTAAATAAACCTTGCTTCTACATAATGGTAAAAAAATCATAACAAAATCTCAAGCAAAACAATTGCTTCACTTATATAGTCCAAAAATTTCCATGCTTAGGTAGTCTTGTTTAACACAAAGGTTAGTAGCTCAAAATTTTGTTTGTAAAACCCAAATCTATTCATTTGGTTTTATATTTTCTTTCTAATCATTTTCGCATAGGTATTCCTGTAGAGAAAGTTAGTAGAAAACCAAAAACCAAACCAAATCATCTAGACAAAAAGTGAATAAAATAAATTAATTGAAGCCATCTACCAAACTAATTAACAATACAATTAACTAATCAATAATCATACAAGATAAGCTACAAAAATCAATCTATAACTCTATAAATTAAATTAAAAGATAATAGTTAAGAATTATGACAAAGGTTACAAAGCCTTATACCTCCTAAATAATTAAAATTCTAGCCATGAGTTACAAATCAATTTAATTCACAATAATAAATAAATTAAATTAATATGCAAGAGTAACATAAACCTTATAACTTCACATAATTAAATTCAAATTATGAGGTAATTCTATATGACATTATAACACCAATAAAATGAATTTACAGTTTTATTTACATAATAAACATGTAAAGCAATATAGGCAAGTCTAGAGTTATATAAAACTTTTTAACAAATCACCAATCATGTACACATGTGAACAACTCATGTAAATAATTCTAACATAATAAGCATGTAACAAATCAAAACTAGAATATATTTAACATGTCAAAAAAAAAAAATGTTTGCAACACTCATAACCATGCCAATTATATTATAAAATTAAAAGTCGTGCACATCATGGTAGGAAATTATGAACTATACCCATAAAATAAAATCATAATAAAATAATTAAGTACGAAAATTATATTAGAGCATTCTAATTAAACTGCTATTTCAGAAAATCAGGAGACCAGAAAACAAACTTGGTTGTGCAAGAATAAACCACACTATAAGAAATTTCACCTTTGGCGCCAAAAATTTTAGTCACCAAAAGCCTTATTTTAGTCGCCAATTACTTTTGGCGACTAATATATTTGATCATCAGTTTGGTCGCCAATACTTTGTCGAGGAAGACAATTGGCGAATAAAATTTTTTTGGTAGCCAAAAGTGACCTATCGGTGACTAAAACTTTAATCGCCATGTATTTTTAAAAAATAATTAAATATATATATATATATTACTTTTAGAAACTAAATTATTTAGTAGCCAATTGAGCATGTTTATGTGGCGACTAATTATTTCGTAGCCAAAAGTTTCACTTTTTGAGAATTGACGACTAAAAATTTAGTAGCCAAAAGTTTTTTTTTTTTACAATTGGCGATTAAAAGTTTAGTAGCCAAAAGTTTCAATTTTTGACAATTGGCGACTAAAATTTTGGTAGCCAAAAGCCAACCTGTGATATTTGTTTAGTTTCCAAAAGGTCTCATTTAGTTTTCGTTCTGTAATATTTTTTGCGCCACCTATAACCTTTGCATATACAAAATTATTCATCCATCTATTCATTCATTTAATTGTCAACCATTTAATAAAAATATTTTTGCACAAGTTGTAGCACTCAATTACCAACCATATACAAAACTTAACTATTAACGGTACATATCAAAGAAAATAAGAATCTATAAACATAGTATAATCCAACAAATACATACACTATCTAAATCAACAATTAAAATCCAAATTAAATAAAATCTTAATTAACAAAACATATCAAGGTCTCTATCTCCGTATCACGCGCTCTTGATACAGCTTTGGATATGGTAGAAAAGGGTCTCCATCTCATTATATTGTTAAATTCTTACATGTAGGTCACTGCTTCAGGGATCAATTCAGTCATTCATCTTCTTCAACTTGTGAGACTTCTCAGTCGGGCCTTGACCAGGTTGCACAACATAATTTATTTCCTTCACAATCAGCTATAGAGAACAAATAAGATAATGAATATATATATATGTGTGTGTGTGTGTGTGTGTGTGTGTGTCAATTGTGAACATAATTGATGCAGCAGACTGGCTCATATAGCATCAACAAAAGGGAGATATATAATCTAAATGAGTGAACACAATTGCTAGAATAGAAACAGCATTTCAAACCTCGTAATATGTTTTGAGATTTTCGTTCTCATCTTTTGTATATGATCCTAAATGACCTGAAACATAAATACAATCATTTGGTTTCAGATGTTTGATAGATATTTCTTCCATCTCATTCCACATCTTCGGTAAAATCCTATTCACAAATTGTAGGATGTAAGCATGCCTAGTTACATATATACCTTGACAAGTCATAAAATTGTAAACATGGACTTTCATAGCAAAAAAAAACCATGAGAATAAGACAATTTTCCAAGTGAAAGAACAAAAAATTGAAGGGGGGAAAAAAAAAAAAGACTGTTTTCTTAAGGATATGAACATGACAAAAAACTGTGGCTGGTGCTCAGATGAGGCAGAAAATGAATATATACACATAGCAATGCATGCCAAATGATAAACAAAAGTATGAAACAAATCAATGGCAAGAACCCATAAGTTTTTAGACATGGGTTGTATTGTGATAGTGAGCCTTCTATTAAATTGCTCAAATTTTGAAATGGTAAGAGAATTAATCAATTCATCCCTTTACATGAAACAATTTGACCACGTAAAATAGACTAGAGAAGCATCGCCATAATTATTACAACACCACCAACAGAATTTAAATCTTCATATTCCATCTTATGTTACTATTTAAAAACAAATTAAGTGACCTGGTAAAATGATGCAAGTTTGAATCTGACAACTAAAATCTCAACCCTCGCTGCATCATCACTTCATAGTTTTATTGTAAATAGTGTTAAGCCGAAACATTTAGGATTCATCTAATTGCAATGACATAGAAAATTGGTTACTATATAAAGCACACAACTCAGAAAGATTTGAAGCTTTCTACATTCTTTTTTGTGGGAAGGGTTAGAAATGCCCATATTGTTAACTTCAGAAAATAACTACCACCCATTATCAAATTCAACCCAACTTCTTCATTTATCAAATTACTGAAAAATTTAGAAATAAAATTGCAAACTTCATATTACAAACTAAAATTGCACACTTTAGATTACAGCCACTGCTAGTTCACTCTGTAAAAGAAACTATACAAAGCATTCAAAGAATTCATAGATTTTTAATTATTTCTAATTAAATTATACTAATGTGAATTATACATTAGGTTACACATAGCAATTATTTCTAATTAAATTATATCTCATCATCTCATAATCTCAATTACACTATATTAAATATACTAATGTGAATTAGGCTCTAATTTCTATCTAATTATTTAATTCTAACTTGTTAAAATTAGCGAATCAGACAGGTTTAATTTTCATTCTAACCTATCTGTTCAAACAATACAAGTCAATAAATCTCATAACAATCAACAGCACTTAATCACATTATTAAATCACATAATTAACATGTAGGAACATAGTTTTTTTTTTTTTTTTTTTTTTTTGATCAACAAAAGAAACTTTATTGATGAAGAAACATACATTACATATTAGAGTACATCAATAAAGAGGTGGAAGTGCAAAGAGCATCACAATGACACTACCCCAATCCCAACTAGGTTGGCACCGAGGAGAACACACAATCATCTGCTAGCACAACCCCAATGGTTGGCAAGAGACCAACACAACACCAAAAAGAAAACAACAAAGAAAACCCATTCAACACCCTAACAGCCAAGCCACTACTGCAGCATGCATAATCTGCAGTTTGGTCACAAACAAAAGCAGAACCAGTACAAGGAAAACAAGAAAAATCAGAACCACAAAACCAACCTAAACTAGAAAACAACACTCTACACTACAAAGACCACCCTCTCAAACCACCACCCATGATTAATTATACAGTAACCTTAGCCAAGGCAGACTATAACCTGATGAAGATGATGAACAATCTCATTGACTGAGTATACCGTGGTTGGGCTATATGCTTTGATCCACAAAGCAATCCTCACCTTGATGGAATCACGCAAACTTTCAACATCAGCCTGAACCCTATTAAATATACAATCATTCCTCTGTTTCCATATAGACCAGAGCACTGCCAGAGGAACAACATTCCAGATTAACTTCAGCTGCTTTGATAATTTCCAACAAGACCACCAATTGAGTAGGCTGCTCACAGTCGCAGGAGTTACCCAATGAATACCCCACCAATTGATAATCTTAGACCATATCCTCCAGAAAAAGGGGCAAAGCAACAGCACATGGTTACCATTTTCCATCTCCCCATTACAAAATATACAATTAGCAAAAAAACCAACATTTAGAACACCAATTTTTTGAAGATAGCTAGAGGACTTAACTCTTCCTTTCCATGCTAACCAACCAAAAAATTGAACCTTATGAGGCAATACATTCTTCCAAATGAACTCAGCAGTCTTGCTATTAGTTTCAAGACCCAATTGACTCTATCTGTAAGCAGATGCAACCGAGTAAGACCCTGAGGAATCTGCACTCCAACTCAAAAAATCCCTATGTAGGAGCATAGTTAATAGTTCCAATTAAGGCACAATTCAAGTCTGGGTCCTCATATTCAACAAAAGCAGATTCTTCAAACCTACTTGAGTAATACACCATTGATACATTAAACAAGTGCATTGTAAAGTAATTTAAAGCAAAAAAACACTTCAAACTAACACAATTATCCCCAGTTCTAGGTTTTTACACATATTCCACACATCAAAGAAGTCATTCCAAAGACCTCCAAATGGAAAATCCATAACAACTTCCCATGGTTGTCAAACTGTATTTTGACAGCATGTGCTTGGGTTTTGATTGGGACTCTACTGACATAAATATTCTACTACTTGCTACGTTGGCGAAGCCTTTAATGGGAACTGCCTGAATAGTCATAACGGCATCCATATGAAGGGTGAAGTATGTCGTTTTCTTCTCTCTTTTTTACTTACCTTTTATATCTAAAATTCTCAATTATCGTTTTTCTCTTTCTGGTCAATGAAGAATTAAAGTCACATCTATGAAATTGAAGAAATGGTAATCATTCTTTGCCACCACTAGTGTAAATCAGGTAATGTTACAGGCTCAACTCCTCATTCACATAGTGAAAATGGAGGGGAATAACATAAATAAATAAAAGATTTTTTTTTCTGTTATTTTTTGGGAACTGGAAATTGCATCTATAAAATTTCTAAATTAATTAACTAAACTATGCTAGGTGATATTATGTTTCGTTCTGTTTATGTGTGTGTGTGTGTGTGTGTGTCTTAGTGGTGGACATATGGAAATGTTATTTTAATGGGATAGAAGTTTTTTTTTTTTTTTTAAAATTCCCATTACCTAGTTCCAAATACAATATTAGAGTGAATTTTTGACATGAATATTTGCCTGAAATAGTGAAGAGCATTTATGTGAGACTCTCTCTAACTATAATTTGATATAGTGTTTTCATCTCTATTCTGTTACATTTAGACACTTGGACATATGACAATTCTAACAGTAGCATTACTCATGGAAACAAGAATATCTCACCACAATTCATTTTGCTCAGATTCTATAATTATGTTATGAGGATTAATAACAACATTCTACAAAATAAGAAAATTTCAGCAGATAATCCTAGCAATAAATAAATAAATAAATAAATTCATTCTACAACCAACAATAAAGCATGCAGTGAACTTAATTACTGAACCAACAAACCAGTCCTCAAAACCTCTTTATGACATTTTTACATACACTTTGTGAGCATAAATCAAAAAGATTAGTTTGCTCACCAACACAGGAAAGCAGACCGACCCATTTTCACAAACACTGGCACATGAGGCATGAATGAATGACAGATCTCTCTTGTAACCCACTAAAAGTTGCATAAGTAGGACGCTAACTTAGATGACTTCAATTCTTAAAAAAAAAAAAAGAACATCCAAAATCTCATAACCCAAATTTCTTTCATTGTTTTTGGGACATTTGAACAAGGGTCCCTCATAATGATAATTGTTTTTGCGAAATTGAGAGAGAGAGAGAGAGAGACCTTCCATTTGGAGAAAATAGAGTCATGTTTGGAACTTAGATGACTTCAATTCTAAAAAAAAAAAAGAACATCCAAAATCTCATAACCCAAATTTCTTTCATTGTTTTTGGGACATTTGAACAAGGGTCCCTCATAATGATAATTGTTTTTGCGAAATTGAGAGAGAGAGAGAGAGAGACCTTCCATTTGGAGAAAATAGAGTCATGTTTGGTGCTTTTATAGTCTTCTCTCTTCACCATAGCGATAGTGGAGGGGGAGGAGATGCTCCGGTTGCCAATGAACGCGAAGAGAAGCAGCGGTGAGAGAGGAAGTGGAGAGGAGCAGCAGAGAGGGAGAGGGAGAGAAACATTGAAAATAGAGAGAGAGAGAGAGAGAGAGTTGTTGGTTTGTTACGGTTTGGGTTGGAAACAAAATACATATATAATTAATAATAATTCGCGACTAAATATTTTAGTCGCTAATTACTTTTTTAATCCCTCAAAAATTTGAAATCTCCCTCCAAATATTTTAATTTTTTGGCAACTAAAATTTTGTTTTTGTCACTGAAAATATACTTTTGGTGACCAAACTTTTGGTCGCCAAAGATAAAAAAATAATTTTTTTTTTCATTCGGCTACTAAACAATTTTAGTAGCTAAAACTAACAATACGGCTACTAAAATATTCTTTCGTCGTTGAAAATATACTTTTGGCGACCAAAAGTTTAACTGTCAAAGTTTTAAAAAAATAATTTTTTTTTCTTTTCATTTGGCTACTAAACAATTTTAGTAGTTAAAAGTAACTATATGGCTACTAAAATATTCTTTTGTCGCTGAAAATATACTTTTGGCAACCAAAAGATAAAAACTAATTTTTTTTTTCTTTTCATTTGGCTACTAAACAATTTTAGTAGCGGAAACTAACTATATGACTACTAAAATATTCTTTTGTCGCTAAAAATATACTTTTGGCGACCAAACTTTTGGTCGCCAAATATAATATATATACATATATATATTTCATTCAGCTACCAAACAATTTTAGTAGCCAAAACTAGCTATACGGCTACTAAAAATTTTTTTAATCGCCAATTGTGATATTTTTAGTGACTAAATTTTTTTTAATCTCCAATAATCAATATTCCCTTACTAAAAAAATTTAGCACCCAAATATTTGACTTTAGTACCTAAAAATACTTAGTTGCCAAAAGTGATCGCTAAAAGTGCATTTTGTTGTAGTACCATAATAGTGCTTACAAAATTAGAACCAAACAATTATTTTTAATATTCTAAACATGAAAACCAAACATAAATTCAATGCAAAGCATTGTGTACAACAAAATATGTAGTAGACTAAATTTTACTTTTAAGGCATGAATGTCAAGGCAGCATGTACAATCAAGAATATGTTTTCATGGCACACCAAATATATTAATTTAAATAAATTGAAACAGTACCCTTTTCAAATAAACCAATTGAATATGGAAACATTCAGTTTGCATACACATAAAAAAATTGGTTTCGGTGGTATGGCAATCAGTAGCATGCATAAGTATTTTTTATTATCTCATATAAAACCCATTGGTTAAACACGGAATTCAAGTTGGCAAAACAATTCTAGGTAAACATATAAATTGTGTTATTCTACAATATTATATGAATCTATTTAGTCACTTCAGGGAAACTTTATATAATCTATTTTAAGTTTTTTGTATAAATTGTGGAATATAGATTCATATTTAATCAGTTAAATTACATAACATGAAACATGATTAACAAAAATACATATGGAACCAAAATATTGAAAACAAGGAATCAAACTAAATTCTGTGTGATACCACAGTTTCCTTAAAATAGATTAGTCGCCTCACCGTGGGTGCTGGAGAAACGTCCACTTTTGTCTCACAAGATAAGATGGTTTAGATTGGCTACCGTAGAAGCACCTTCTGATAGCTTTGGTGAACTGACAAAGGCAGTTCTCTCTCAACACAAGAAGAAAAATTATAGGAGGAAGCAAACTGACTATATATCTAGAAGGCAAAAAATTTTGTACCAAAACTAAGAGAGATGAGTCTCCTTTTATACACCATGGGGAGAGAGAGAATTAGCCTCTAACCATGAAGGCTAATGGCCATTACTCTTGCAAAACTGTTGGAGTAATGGATCAAAACTGATGAGAAAAAATATTTGAGATATATTTTCTGTATACACAAGTGTGTATATCTATAACAAACTTGGCCCAAAAAGATTAGGTTGGTGGACCACCAATCCGGCCCAGCCCAAACCCATTCCAGCAAGCCTCAAGCCTAAGCTGAAGCTCCACGGATGCGGACCCGTGCATGTGGCAATTTTTCCATAACCAACTTGGACCATAGTCTTGGCCCAAACCCATCCTAGATGCATCCATAACTCCCTTCCTTCGGAAAAGTTGAATGCCCCAAAGGGCTCATACCCTTATCAAAATCTTGAGGTTTAAATATCCATCAAATCTTTCTTCTACAATCAATATGGGATTGGTAGTTATATACAATTCTCAATACCTTATTCATGAGGCCATCTTCATTAGACAATTTCTCATTCAATTCTTAATATTTTTTGGTCATTTCTTTTGTGGTGTAAAGACTTTGTTACAAAGAATCTAAACCCATTTAATCTCACCTCAACGAATGGTTGGGACCTATTTTAATTTCTCATTAAAGTTATCAAAAAACCATTTTTTCCAACATAGAGTTCATCAAATACTTTGTAAGGAGAGACCAAACACACAAGCACACACTGTATATGTAGAGAGAGAAAATAGAAATACCATGCCACCGATTCCACTTAAAAATTGAAATGTTTTTTGAAAAACGAAATGGTGATGAGACTTGAGAGGTTGAACAACGAAGGGGCAAAGATCTGAGAAGTTAAAAATTATAGTTAGGGTTTGAAATTAAGGGAACAAGAGAGAGAGAGAGAGAGAGAGAGAGAAAGAGAGAGAGAGAGAGAGAGAGAGAGAGAGTGTGTGTTTATCTGATGCAAGTGGTCAAAAATTGAGAGGATTAGCAATGGTAGAGTGTAAACGGCTCCACACACTACCACCGAACATCCTTTCTCTCTCCGCCAAATCCACTGCTACTCCGTCGCTGCTCCTGTTTCGTTTCGTGTTAGCGCCTTCTTTGTGTTTGCTCTCTGCTTTGGTCGATTCGCTGCCGACCTCAGAGTGGAGAAATAGAGCGACGCCACCATGGCGTGAGACATTTTTGATGGTGATGGTTTTGAATGGTGGCCTAGGGTTTGTGCTTATGTGAATGTCAAAGAGAAAGAGAAATAGGTAGAGAGTAGAAAGAGAAACAGAGGAATACATTGAAAGCGACGGTGAGAGAGAGAGAGAGAGAAAGAGAGAAGAGCAAGTGACTCTCTGTGTTTTTCTTTGATTGGTGTTCGGTGTATATATTTGAGTTGAGATACAGATAAATAAAAAAAATATAAAATGAAATTAAACATAAAACTCAAATTGGGCAATAATGCTTCGTCTTCCCACCAAAAGATTTGAGTTTTATTGTCGACTAAATATTTTTTAGTCACTGAAAGTGCATATTTTCTGATCAAGAAGGAGCTTCTTCTCTGTTTTTTTTTTTGGTATCTATTAGTGACGGCACAATAAAGGCCATGGCCAAAATAAATAAAAAAACTATTTGCAACGAGAAGAAAAGTTGCCGCAAAAAGTAGGCCTTCCGTGACGGCTAATGGCTTGTCGTCGCAAAAGCCATCCAATATACCCTTTTCTCTTTTTGAGACAGTAATTGCCGACATAAAAAGCAACCATTAGCGATGGGGTATTAACCGTTGCAAAAAGTTGCTTTTTGCAGCGAAAAATTATACCGTTGCAAAAGGCTTCGTGTCTTATACCCCTTTTTCTAGTACTGATAATAGGATAAAGATTTTTTTGCATGTTATATCTTCTATATTTATCTATATCTATATCTATATCTATCTTTTATATAAAGTGAACACCCACGTTGACGTCCTGAAAGCTGAAATCTATGCTTCTCTATGTGCCAAGTGAATTTCTCAATTTAAAAAAAAAAAAAATGTTAGAGAAGAGGATAAGACTTGACTTGAACAGGTTTGATTTGATAAGGAAAACACTTATCAAAGTGTAATATTATTTTGTTTTATTTTTACATATTTGAATTGAACACGCATTGCGTATACCATCTGCTAATGTTACATATTTGTCATAACATGTTTTTTTTTTTAATTCTTTTTTTAATATACTTTTCTATGGTTTCAATTTCTATATCATTTTAAATTGAAAAAAAAAAAATAACAATAGAATATTCATAATCACTTTTTAATTTTAATTCATCACTACCCATTTGTTTAGTTATTATTGGTAATACCAAAATAGAATGCTTGTTTTCCAATGTTTTAATTTAATCATATTTTGTTTTATCATACATATTTATTTAAAGTAAACTTCAATAACACAACATAGGTTCATTTTTTTTCTGGTTCCTAATTCTAGATATATTACATAATTTCTATTTTATTTTGTAAAATAATTTTTATTGTTTCACTTTCAAAAAATCTTTAGGGGCAAAATAGATTTTAAAAAAATAATTTAAATATTTACAATAATTCATTTGTTTCAAGTTATTACTAATCTTGTGTAATTAATTATTTTATTTTCTTACGAAACTCAAGTGCCCTATTCATATCATAATTCATTTAATAAAAATAATTGTTATTTGCTTTCTCACATGCATCGCCAAATGTGCTGCTAGTTAATTTTAGGGCTAGTTTGGCATATCTTAAAAAAAGTTAAAAAGTAAAAAAATTATTAAAAAAATTGAAAAGTTATCGCTATTCACTAAAAAAATATAAAAAAAATTAATTTTACAAAACAAAAAGTACAACTCACATGTCACGTAAGTTGTGCTTTAGCTGCCCACCGTTTGTACAAAGGAAACAAGTAGAGAAGCAAACAAGACCGTGCTATTCGGCCCGTGGGGACTATCATGGGTCTCGTTTTGATAATCTGAACCATTCAATGTGTAGAACTCATCGCGTAATATATGCCTGAAAAAAATCACGTTGATCGGATATCACTAACTGCATGATCAAATCAGTTTTGTATTAAAAATAAATGGTGTTATAGTTAGCGGTTGACAAAAAACTAATCCGATCAGATAGCTATCAATATTCGATTAACGTGATTTTTTTACAAGCATATAGTAATCAGCGAGTTCTACACGTTGAACGGTTCCGATTAGCAAAACGGGACTTGTGGTGGGCCCCCACAAGCCAAATAGCACCGTCCAATTCAATGTCTGAAAAGGAGGCAAGTTTCTCCTATACACTACTCTACCCACCGTACTGCCTACTCTACCCAAACTTCTCTTATACACTAATTTATATAATTTTTTAATACACATTTT